GAGCTATGAACCGCGACTTTATTGCTTTTGTTATTTGCACAAAATCAACACTCTCAGCCAGTTATAATGGGAAGTTTCTGCTGAGAAACCTAATTTTTTATTGAAGCTTTGGTTTTTTACTGCTCTTGTTCTATTCATTCAATAACTTTGACTTGCTGCTATCGATATACGAGCAGAGAAATGATCATGGAGTTTATACACCTAACAAAGAACGCCTCGCGCCCTCATGCCTTGCCTTTGTTTCATTCTCCGTCTAGTCAGCTTTTCTGTTTTCTGCACAGTCGCTGTCCATTATACACAACGCGTGGATGTTCTTCAAACCTCTCTTTGGCTTGAACAACGCCATTCATAGCCTTTTTCAATTAGATGTGTTGTATCAATCAATCGTACAGACGTTGGCATACCTCTGAATAAGGTTTCAACGCTCTATAAGCGAAGGTCATTACTCTGCAGTTATCTCAGAAGAAACAAAAACCAAGAGCCCCGAAGGAATAGAAACACATAACCAAACAGTGTTCACTGGCCATTCACTAGGGGAGGGCAAATACCCATCAATGCTCTTGGAAGAAACAAGCGAACACGAACACGAACAAGGAAATGCAGGAATAGAGGCATACATTACCGAACTATGGTTTAACAGCTCATTGATTGTACAAAGTTACTTCCTACGATTAGTGATCGCCTTAGAATAATGTGTTCAAACGCGCTACGCAACCGCCAATAGCAGCGTTATAAAAGATAAAGTCTTCTGTCTGGGGTTTGTCTGATTATGTTGTTTAAGTTCTTGTTCTAATATGTTGTTCATGATCGTGTTATCACATTACTTGCTCGCCCTCTAATCCTCCCTTCTTAAAAATTTGGATCTATATCCTGGTTTCCCTTTCGATCTCTTTCGATTTTCTGTTTACGCGCTAGTTTGAGCCATTTTTTTTGTTGGTTATTCTTGCCATTTGGGCACTTTTAAGGTAGAGGACGCGCAGTGAGCCTGTCATCATTCATTCATAAACGGTGGAGGTCTTCAAAAGAGGTGAAATCTCACCAAACGACCAAAACAAATTCGACGAAGAGAAACTCAAAGGTATGAAAAGGGGATAGACAATAGTCTCATCCTGTTCGATTACGCGTACTCACTTAAGCAGCTAATTTCTATGGAATAGTGTTGATGTGAACCCACTTTGCTAGACGTTCATGTTTCCTTTTTCAGATGCTGTACGGGCATGGCAGAAGTCTCAAACACTAGAAAGGAACTTAATAAAAAGCGCTAGATTCCTTGTCTCCGAAAAAACAGCTTCCCTGTAGATGACGGTGAAAGGTGATTTTAGACGCCTTTCCATTTTTTTCTCCTATCTCGCATGCTATTTCTTTGCTTATTCAGTGTGTTCTTTTAGTCAGCTGAACTCTTCAAGGATGCGATAGCTACGCTCGCTCGAGAAGTTTCGAAAAAAGAGACGGGGTTTCATAGTGATAAATAGACGCTGCTAGTGAGTGCAACTCGACTTTTTCTTACTGGTTGTACTATTCTGTGGGCAACTAGATCTATATTAAGAACAAAGACCAACTCAAACAGCGTCTTGAAGTTTAACCCTAGAAAAGAACGTCAAGATACTGTCTTTTCATTAGGATTCATTCGGGCCTGCCAAGATATAATCATTAGTAATATCTCCAACACTCTGAACTTATTAATTTCTTACCCTCGTTTACCCTATTACGGGACTTTTGATTGCCGTGTAGCTCTTCCTGTTAATTTGTCGGGCTCATGCATCACTCGATGACAAACTGTTAAACTTTGAAATTTGTCTTTGTTCGGCGTCATTCGCTTTAACGCTTTGTCGTATGCCGACGAATCCGTTTTCGTCGTATATACCCTTTTTCACGTTATCACTCAAGATGAGCTTAATCGGCATGACACTCTTATGAAAGTTTCCAAATTTGCAACCCAAGCTGAACCCGGAATTCGGGCTCTAAACCATACCGTGAAAGCGCGTCCTTGACAGTCCACCTTTTCCACCTGTTCGGGGGTGACTTATTGGTGAGTTCAAGCAGCACACTATCACATGCGTGGTCTGGGGATCAAGTTGCATTCCGAACTGATTTCCATTCAGGCCAACTCTCTCAGGTTCACGACAGCTCTGAGCGAGAGGAATGCTAGACCTCGTGTCCCTGAAGCGACGACGATCACTGGCCACTCTGGCTCGCTAGGGACGATAAGGGACGTTAATGGCGCCGGTTCGAGGAAAATCGATGATCAACGTGACGAAGTATGACAGGTCAAAGAGGACGCTACGCCGATACGAGTTGTAGTATGCGTGAGATATCAATACTCGTACAGCAATGATGACAACTTCTATCAATGACTTCTTTAGAGCGTCGATGCTGGTTGTATCGGTACATAGCGCTGAAGTCAATGCCAGTTATCACCACTCTGGACATTAGAGATGGAATTGAGGAACGAGCTTGATAAAGATAAAGGAAACTCTCTGTCTGTCTCATTTCCTATTATGGTTAGCTTGCAGGAAAGTGCAATCTGAAAATTTAGGCAATATGTTCAAAGATCAGAGGCGCGCTGCGCCAATTTGATGGTCTTGGAATTTTTATGGATATTTATAACATGCAAGGTCAATGAATTCGCAAGAAGCAGTTTGTGATACAGTTGATTATTGATCACCTTACCGGGGGTAACGGAACTTCTCCCCTATCGCGGCATTCTCCCTTGCGGCATGCGGCAAATGTCACTGCAATTACCGTACTCACCCCGCCTCCAGAAAATCGATAGGACGCGATATTTTCCCTCGACTGGCTTGCTTTTTCATTGGATTTTATCGTTTTTTCTTATGTTTCTTTTTAGTTTTCATGTTTATTAGATTTGATTAATTAAAATGACTCCTCTTATATAGACGACGATCAATACCGCATTGAAATTGAAGGGAGCGACCAGCCAATTGAAATGATTAAAGGACTCCCTACCTCACAAATTGCGCGCTCCAATCTTTCATCGCAATCCTGTGATAGGCGGCGGGTGCGGCGTGTGCGACGCCGTGTTAGGGGAGGAGTTCCCGGACCCCCTTACCGGTAACCCTCACGAGTGCATATAACAGCATCAATTTAGTCTGTCATACTCCATTTGCTCCCCGATCACAAACTCTCATTTTCATTTGCTGTAGTGCTCCCAATGTGTAGTCATAAAGTCCAGAAGCTGCCTGTTGTCGGATAGATACTATAATAGTTGTTAACAAGAACCTTTTCGTCCTGTATGAAAAAATTGCATGTTAGTAGTGCTCTGCATTTGCTGGGTTATCGGCTAAAAGAAGTTGAACAAGCTGCTGTAGTTAAGGTACTTGAACACTACAGTGTGTTTCAAAAGTATGTGCACACCCAACATTTTTTTTTTCTTTGGGATACCATTGCTTTCTGTAACCTGTGACCTTTACCATTGAAATTCTCAAGTGCTATAACCTTCAAACACTTTCTCTGAGAAAACATCGTAGCTGCACATAATTTTTTATTAAAGGAAAATTTTTTCTTTGTTTCAAAATTATGTGCACACTTAGCAAAAAACAAAAATATAACCGAGATCAGAAATCAATAGGGCCCCCTGAATTTCTG